AATACAATCTGTAAATACATCTAGTAAATACAATCTGTAAATACATCTAGTAAATACAATCTGTAAATACATCTAGTAAATACAATCTGTAAAAACATGTAGTAAATACAATCTGTAAATACATCTAGTAAATACAATCTGTAAAAACATCTAGTAAATACAATCTGTAAATACATGTAGTAAATACAATCTGTAATACAGTTTTCACATTTAACAATAGCATTTGAAGACGTGTTACAACATTGTGAGCGAAGGCCTGTAAAGGTGTCATGTAGTCCGTTACCATGGAGATGTTATCATTAGTGTATAGGTCGGTAGCTAGGTACGTACAATGTATACACATTCAATGCGAAGATGGGATATAAAAGGTCATCACGAGGGAAAACTTTGTTTAAGAGGGTGTCGGCCTAGACCAACCTGTCTACACGAGCAATTTTATAGGACTAGGGATTTATATTCACCGGCATGTACCATAAGGATTTGATAAAAGCCCCCTCACGGGAATTTGTTTTTAAAGGAGCGTTATATAAGAATTATACATGTGTGTGTCGTTAGAGTGTTGTTTTATAGAAAGTATTTTAAAGGATATCCTACTTAGGGAAATATATCTATTATCTTATTTTTTTTTAGATGAAGATAAATAAACATGGGGGGACGGGGGAATGATCAAAATGAAAAACATGAAATCGTATGAAAGTTAATTATAAAAAACGTATTCCGTAGTACATGCCAACTCAAAATCACCCACGAAAAGAGGAACCTTAGGGAAACCATGTGTTTGGAAGTGTAAGGAGCCGAACATCACCTGTGACACCCGTCATGATGCGATACATTCCGTTATTTCTGGGACAGTAGTTGTCTTCTAATCGTGATAAGTCGGCTATATCTAGTTCCGTCAAGGCACGAAAACATTGACGGAATTGTTCGAGATGCTGCGACTGTTTCTTATTCTTTGCAGGCATATACCAACATTCCATAGCTAGAACCAGGCAGTCTTGTGATGATCGTGTAGATCTTTAAGCGTTAGTTGAAATACTCCTGTAGAAAACCCGAGGCATATAGTTTATTACCCATCAAATTTCCGTGATATTATAAGAACATTTTCGAAATGTATGCCTGCAAATGATCTCAGGGTAATGCATTGATTAAAGATATAAGTTGGTCAGTTTATGGAGTATGCAACAAAAGTGCTTACCGTCAGCCTTCGATTTCGTCTAGAGAAAATCCAAGAGAACGGAATCCATTAAATTCGAAGAACATATGTACGCATGATATGGACATTAATGTACTTATATTTGCATAGAGTATCGTGGAAAGGTTAACGCTGCTTTGAGTTATCCATATATACCAGTGATATTGATATGCATAGTTTTGTTGTGATCAAAATAGCCCATGTGTATAATTTGATCACAATCTTACGACAGCTGTGGGAGGGAATATAAACGTGAACATAGAAAGGAAAACGTGTCCTTCAGTACACAGGTTACATGTAGATTGCTAGCAAAACCGGTTTATCACCGAGCCTTGATTTGTATTTAACTTGACATGTTTGTCCAACCCTTACATGTGTATATACATACAGATTTGTAAACAGCTGGTACATCTTACTTGTTTAGATACACAGATTTTATTCTGACTGTAGGACTTACAAATCATCTGCTGTCAGCTCTGTACAATTATAAATATGACATCATCATTGACGTATCACCTCATAGTGTTGTTAAATGACAGATATTTGGTACGTGGTATAGCATGTACAGTTTTGTACAAGTAAATGTTGCCTTGTTTATCTGTATGAAGCAATGTATGCGTTTTATGCATTCCTCAAAATTGTATTTATTTATTCATTGATTAATGTATATGCTAATTGTATTAATTGTATATCTAGGTGCTGTAAAGTGTGTTAGAGTGGCTTATTCTAGCTAGAAAGATTATCATTATTATTATTATTATTATATATACCTGTATTATATTTGTGATTATTACATGCGTTGTCTAAAATTGCTTTGTGGTGAATACAATTTCATGTGTTGTTTGGAAGCACTTTTTATGTTCGTTATTGATTGAATTGTATTGTATGTATTTTTACCACAGGGGCCGCGGAGGAAACGAAATTTCCACAATTGGAGGGGAATATTGACAAATAACTTTCTGAACTAGTCTCGGTTAAGACAGTCAATAATCTCCTCCTCGAGGAGATGTTTTATCCTCAAGGTAGAGGTAAAAACGCAAATGCACCATAGGGTCATCCTCGATATCAACGCTCACTTTCGCTCTTTGCATAGAGCGAAAGTGAGCGTAACCCCTGGATATCGAGGATGATGCACCCTGAACTTTGGGATAAACGTACTGAGATTGCAGAATACCCTAGAACAAATTCTGAACTCCTGGAATAAAGTGTCGTTTTATCATTTACAGACCAAACTTATATGAATATACAGAAGTTCAAAATGTATCATATACTGTGCATTTCTGTACTTTTCAGGTTGGTTTTGGCACGTGACTGACTTCCATTATGATTTTTCTTACTCTGGCCTTGACCTTTCCTGTAACGATGACGTCACAAATCACGGCACGTATGGAAATTACTGGTGTGACTCCCCATGGAGTCTTGTTGATGTCAGTGTGGAGGCCATGAAAACGTTTAAACCGGATGTGGATTTTATCCTGTGGACTGGGTAAGCTGTCAATTTACATCGCATTTTTTTCTTATGTCATTATAATAGTATGCCGTATCCATTAAAGTTCTCATTTAGGGATATAACACGTTATTTATGTATTTCTACATTTGTCACTTAAGTGAAATATTTGTTTATGTCATATTAAATCGGTATTAATATTTAAAATACATAAATATACATTCCATTTAAATCACATCATGTCATGTATTTGACAGAATTATAGTTGTTTGAAATTGTATACATATTTGAAAATAGAAGAAAAAAAAAAGAAAAAAATATGCGGGGGTCGAAATCAGTACTAGCACGACCACATTGCAAAACGTACCCTTTTTGCCTTGAGAATATATCCAGCATTTATTGGTCCAGCCATAGGGCCCCGGGGTTTGGGACCCCCGAGGTTTGGGACCCCCGAGGTTCCGCACAATGCATATAACTATACTTCCCATCAATAACAAATTATCATAGATAGTACATGTATGTAAAACATAGATTTGTCACTTGACATATGTGTTTTACGTTATATCAGGTTAACGAAGTCTCTATGTAATGAAATTATAAAAACCATATTATAGCAAACATGCTGTTACTCTCAGATTTAAAACACAATTTGAACATCACCATCTTTCAACAGAATAACGTCAATGTTCTTAGTGAAATATTTGGCAAATAATTTCCTATTGTTCTCTTTGGTACAATATGTAAAAATGGGACCCTCCGTCAAGTATCCTTTAGGATATGATGGAGGAGGGGCATTTTTTAAACTAATAGCCCGAGGCTTAGAGGGTATCACATAGCATATTCTCGCTGACCAGTGAGAGACGACCTCCAGTAGTCTAGTACATCTCTATAGATCTCTTTATCTATGTAAGCCGCCATCTTGGATTGAGGAGGTATTTTAGCGGAGGGCTTAGCTTAATTTATGCATAGATTTTCTAAGTGTTTAATTAATCATCTTTTGAATGTTAATATGTACAATACATGATTTATGAACATGGTTAATTGTTTGCAAATTGAAAGGCCCTTTATAAAAGTGTTGTTATGACAATTGATTATGGGTTAATTGGTTGATTGTTTGTGATTTGAAGAGACGTATAAAGAAGCACACCTGCTCCAGGTGATTGATATCATCGCTATTGAAATCATTGTGGCGACGTTGTATGTGATCGACTTTTTAAATCCTTTAATTTACACGCTCGGTGTGCTATTGTGACATTATACATCATATTTAGGGACAATGTCACCATACAAGATACAAGATACAAGAAACTTTATTTAACGTCGCATACAGGTAAACAAGGAACATTAACTCTTGAGAGCTATTATTGCGACAAAATTAGGTAAAATAACAATAACATATTATATTACAAGAAAAGGGAGATAATCACATATATTAATAAAAAAAAAACAGTAGTAATTATCTTGCCACAAGAGGTCGGTCCCGACATAATCATCTTAAAGGGATGTTTAAAACAGAACTCTTCAGAATATCCAGAGCCTTCACCTTTACAGTCCGTCGCTGTCTAATCTCCCGGCATTGCATGCGCTCTTCCCGGTGCTCCATGCGGGGTCTACGGGGTCCATAGAGATGTCCTAGACTACCACCTCCATTCAAAGAGATTTTTACCCTATGCATTTTCATAGCAGTATGTAGTATTAAACGCGTGCACGTGCGCAAATCGCCATCCTTTAAAGAATCCAAATTTTGTTGATAATGACAACATATCAACAAGGGTGGGACATGCAAAACAGCACAAAATGCATAAAGCAGCCGACATTTAGGGTGGGTAGATACCCTCTTAGCCTCGGGCTATTAGTTTAAAGAATGCCCCTCCTCGATCATATCCTAAAGGATACTTGGAGGAGGGTCCCATTCTTTTACACTAAGCCCTCGGCTTACGAGGGTATCACATAGCAAGTTTAAAGAATGCCCCTCCTCCCTCATATCCTAAAGGATACTTGGAGGAGGGTCCCATTCTTTTACACTAAGCCCTCGGCTTACGAGGGTATCACATAGCAAGTTTAAAGAATGCCCCTCCTCCCTCATATCCTAAAGGATACTTGGAGGAGGGTCCCATTCTTTTACACTAAGCCCTCGGCTTACGAGGGTATCACATAGCAAGTTTAAAGAATGCCCCTCCTCCATCATATCCTAAAGGATACTTGGAGGAGGGTCCCATTCTTTTACACTAAGCCCTCGGCTTACGAGGGTATCACATAGCAAGTTTAAAGAATGCCCCTCCTCCATCATATCCTAAAGGATACTTGGAGGAGGGTCCCATTCTTTTACACTAAGCCCTCGGCTTACGAGGGTATCACATAGCAAGTTTAAAGAATGCCCCTCCTCCATCATATCCTAAAGGATACTTGGAGGAGGGTCCCATTCTTTTACACTAAGCCCTCGGCTTACGAGGGTATCACATAGCAAGTTTAAAGAATGCCCCTCCTCCCTCATATCCTAAAGGATACTTGGAGGAGGGTCCCATTCTTTTACACTAAGCCCTCGGCTTACGAGGGTATCACATAGCAAGTTTAAAGAATGCCCCTCCTCCCTCATATCCTAAAGGATACTTGGAGGAGGGTCCCATTCTTTTACACTAAGCCCTCGGCTTACGAGGGTATCACATAGCAAGTTTAAAGAATGCCCCTCCTCCCTCATATCCTAAAGGATACTTGGAGGAGGGTCCCATTCTTTTACACTAAGCCCTCGGCTTACGAGGGTATCACATAGCAAGTTTAAAGAATGCCCCTCCTCCCTCATATCCTAAAGGATACTTGGAGGAGGGTCCCATTCTTTGACACTAAGCACTCGGCTTACGAGGGTAATTAAAGCATTCATCAACAAAATAAAACAAGGACGTCAACTAGAATTATACTATTTTTAATAACTGGCATATACTGTAGATACTGTAGATAGCAAAGTCACCGACAAAATATTATCGGCCTAAAACAAAGTTAGCAAAGGAATTGGAAAATTCCACATCTCTGTTGTAATATTTATGGAAAGTCGCTGCTTTAGACCAGTCTGCTGTATACAAAACATCACTGAGCTTGATACCTGACATCAATGCAGCAGATGTAGAAGCACTCGGGTAAGAGTGTGCTTTAAAACGTGAAGTGTCAATACCAGAGAACACTAGAACCTCCTTCAGCCACCTGGCAATAGTAGATGTACTCACAGTTTTAAAAGTTTTGAATGACACAAACAGCCTATTAGAATCTCGTTTAGTCGTTCGTTCAAGATAACTTTTAAGAGTTCTAACAACACATAGTCTTTTGTCAACCTGGTACCTTGTAAATTCCAAACGTCTGGCAGGTTTGCCTAACTTGGACGTCTTTTCCAGTTCGACTATATCAAAAGTAACCTTATCCTTCATCATCCTCATGAAATTAGTATCAAGGTACTGTAGCGCTTGTACCCTGGACGCCGACGTCAGTGCTACTAAAGCAACCAATTTCAGGGTAAGAAACTTCAATGACATTTGTTCGACGGGGTATAAAGTTCGTAAATAATTCAGTACCTTCGAAACATCCCAGGTATGAGGATACCCTGGTCTGGGGGGTCTAGAGTTAAAACATCCTTTCATAAGCCTAGTTATGTGTGTAGATCCCATAGACCACTTCACTCCTAACAGAGGTAGAGTTTGGATAAACAAAGCCTTGTGACTACTGATTAAGACAGGCCAGTCCTACACAGGTGAGTAAGATACTCCATTACTTGAGCCTCAAGCGGGTGAAGTGGATCAATTTTCCCGAGATAACTCCAAATGACCCACTTTCTCCAAGCCTGTTCATACTGCTTGTTTGTTTCTGGTCCCCAAGATGATTCGATGAAGGAGGCAGTGTCTCCTGAAATGCCTTGATCCTCCAAAGCTTTCCTGATACAATGCAGGCGGTTAGACCGAGATGTCTGCTCGTTGGATGGACTTCTCCATTGTGTGGTAATGTTAGCAGGTCCTCGTGTCTTGGCAACCTGCAAGATAATAATATCAATTTTGCCATGACAAGAGGAAACCAGGGTTGTGTAGGCCAATGTGGTATAACTTATATGGCCTTATTAACCTCCTCGGTCAATATCGTATTCATTATTCTACTCAGCAACGCAAATGGCGGGAAAATGTACGGTAGGAAATCATTCAAAGGGATTGAGAATGCATCCACTATTGATGCACCTGGGTCAAACGACCAGGAAGCGTAACTAGCACACATATTTGGTTGGCAAAAATGTGAACAGATTCTATGAATGATTTCCTTTTACATGATCGACTCCGGGAATGTGTTGAGCTGTAAGGAATATAGACCTGTCAAAACACCACTCCCAAATTTGACCATCTGCCCGCAGCAGAGCAGCAATCAAAGTGCGCCCCCATCCTTGTAAAGATGCATCAGTTTCTATCCATCCATACTACAGGGGGTGACTGCCTTATTGGTTTACCATTTAATGAGACACTATTTTGCCTCCACAAATCAATCTCCTGTACGCTCTGCTCTGACAAAACCACGAGAGTCAAAATCCTCATTACTGTTTTTGAGCCAGCGAACCTTGTACCTTTCTAAAGCTCTATAATGCAGGGGTCCTGATAGGATAGCATGGAAAGCTTGGACGAGGAGTCCAATGAATGAAGACAAATCACGAATGAAAATTATTGATGAGCTATCAATATCAATCTCCTGTACGCTCTGCTCTGACAAAACCATCAGAGTCAAAATCCTCATTACTGTTTTTGAGCCAGCGAACCTTGTACCTTTCTAAAGCTCTATAATGCAGGGGTCCTGATAGGATAGCATGGAAAGCTTGGACGAGGAGTCCAATGAATGAAGACAAATCACGAATGAAAATTATTGATGAGCTAAAACACTTGTCACCTGACTCGGTGACTTTAACTACCCTTTCCTGTGGAAGATAGACCTTAAATTGCTCAGTATCAATAATAAGACCAAAAAATACAATTTTCTTGGTTGGAGTCATCACAGACTTCTCCGTATTAGCAGTATACCCTAAAGTTGTTAACTGATATACCAACATCTCTGTATTGTTGACGGAACAGTCATAATTTTGATTCATTTGTAGAGAATCATCAATATAATAGGCACACCTAATACCAGCCTTTCTGAAATCAGCATATACAGGTTTCAACACCTTAGTAAATACTAAGCTGAAGACAACCCAAATGGTAAAACCAATAATTCATAAAACTGTCCTATCCAAGAAAACCTTAAATACTTATTATACATTCAATAGCTCACAGTTAGCTGGTCTAGGGTATTTTTTCATAATCTCTGTTATTTTCCAAGGCTCAACCTTACGACTGCAGGCTCTATCAACAGCTTTGGCCATGGACAGCGGCTCAGATAACTTAGGACCTGTAATCTCATCCTCTTCATTCTGAGGAATGTCCCAGTATTCTTCATTACTCTGCCAAAAGCCACCAAACGCACTCACATTATTAGTTACTACCACCTGCGAGAGAGCTGGTATCATTAAATAAATTAATATCAAAGCCCTAAAGAGCTTCAGCTTGGGACTGTGAGCCAACTGCATAGTTTCTTGTCATGGGGTTATTCTGGGTTGCATGCCCCTGTGCAAGGGGAAATGTATCCATGTTTACATGACGAGCAGCGGCGTTTTTCTGTCGCCAAATCAACCATAAATGAGTCGAGTGTCGCCAACGACTTCTCTAACTTACCCATGCTGAGCTGTTGTTTTAATTTGGGTATATTAACCGGGTTATCGTCATTCGCAATACGGCGCCTACCCGTCTTACGTATTGGATCAACATTGCCACGACCACCCCGGCCGCGACCTCGCCTTTTACAAGTAGGTCGTAATTCCCTGACATATTCAGGCTCACTGCTCTCGTCAGAACTAATCTTATTTTTCTCCTCGTCTAAAGACGATTCCCAAACCTGAAAAAATGACAGGACATCGTCCATGTCTGTCATTGTGCCGTAATAGAAAGTCTCACCGACAACACACTTACCTGCAGCAAACGAACCCGTACCACAGACTAAGCAAAATAACGTGACTGTCTATCGAAAGTCGCTAGAAAGCAATACAAGATTGTACTGGCCTAAATATAAGCTGTCTGGTAGCACATAGTAATGAAAAACTAGCTCAAAAAGAAAGATTCTTTAAAGGATGGCGATTTGCGCACGTGCACGCGTTTGATACAACATACTGCTATGAATATTCATAGGGTAAAATGGAGGTCGTCTCTCACTGGTCAGCGATAATATGCTATGTGATACCCTCGTAAGCTGAGGGCTTAGTGTAAAAGAATATCGACTTTTCCTTCTTTACACATCACAAGATTTCGCCGCTTATATACACAATATCTCGCAACACTCAATGTAAAATAAATCATATAATTGTTTACTCTCTTTCATTTTTCATAAAATCACAATAAAACAAGGCGGTCAATATTGATACTATTAACATTACCAGTATCCGCAAAAGCGAAAAACTTATCACGTAAATTTTTAAAAAAAAAGAACAATTGAAATTTTGTTATTCAGGCCAAATAAAAACATGTGCCAAAGATCATCCGTTGTAACTTTACAAACAGGACAAATATCCGTATCAGATATACCAAACATGAATCATTTATGACCCGGAAAAACAGCAATATGCACAATCTAAAAATGTACTTGGCTGTACAGGAGCTATGAATGCACACCATTAAATGCATGTCCAACTTTTGGACAGCAATACATATGAAAATCGTGGTAGGGGAATTATTTTAAGCAAATATACTCCATTTGGAGTGAGGAAACTCTTCTTCGGTGTTAAAACCGATGCCGTGGTACTCTTTACATGAACCAAATTGTTGTACAAAACGATGGAGCAGACATTTTTTTCAGGAACGACGTTGTCTTTTCCATGGTTGTCATTTCCGTCAATATACCTCTACCAGCCGTACCCTATTGACCTGTACCACGGAAATGTGTACACTTTTACCACAGGACGTGATTAATTCATTTGTACAAAGGAAACAACATTGAAACGTATACATTTGTACCAAAAACACGATTAAAACCCAGATAACTTGTACCGGTTAATCAAATGGCATACATTAAGATTAAAAACAGCGATTTAAAATGATACCAATGTATCCTAAAGACGTGATGAAAACTTATACACGTGTAAACAAAGACACATGAATACAATAATATTTCTGTTTGTAACCAATAAGTCGACAAATATAGCAACCGGAACAATTCCCCTCCTTCTCCTTCCTTCATTTCTTTCATTCCTTCGCTCAATGATGTTCGTCTCTTATATCAATTATTACAAGTTTATGTTTTTGAAAACAAAAATGCCATCAAGTTTTATCTATACTTATTATATATGGTGTTGCCGGGAGAGGGACTAGAAAGTAGTAAGAACTTGTGCCCAATCGCTTTGATTGTTTTTCACAATATAGTATGTTTCAATGATTCTGTTGAAATTAAATTTAAATATACACTATGGTGTTTGAACTTCATTTTGAGCGATGACGATGTTGTTGAGTTATTATCTTCAGTGACAGCGTCTTGCATGCTGGGGATGAGCACCTGAGTGTTGATATCAACGATGGAATTCTGAGTAACATCACAGAAAAACTTGTCCAAGAGTTTGGCTCCACTCCAATTTATGCAACCTATGGCAACCATGACTACTTCCCTAGCAACCAATTCCCGCCTAACAACAACGAGTTGTACAACCGAACGTTAGAAAACTGGCTACCATGGATAAGTGGTGAAGAGGAAAAAAACAATTTTTTGAAAGGTAAATTATATAATATTATAAGTATGGCTAAAGGACGTAGCCTTTGCATTGTTCATACAAAAAAGAAGGGTCAGAGTTCAGCTGTACGATGCAGTGTTATACATTGTTGGCACACTGTATCTGTTCACCTAATTTTAACCCTTTCAACCATATATATTTACATGTGCATGGCATTGTCACTATATAGCCTCTTTGAGAGTTGTGTCGTTGATGGGACATTAATTACCATGCCGCACGAGACATAATTACCATGCCGCACGAGACACAATTCTTAGCGTATTAATTACAACACTGACCGGAACTGCAATATCCAATGTAAATAAACATGACGGCTGCTGAAATATCGCTGGGCATTGTGATATTTGATAATGTCATTGTTAATTTATGTGCAAAATAAAAAATAAAATAAAAAACACTTTTATTACAACGAAAACAAGACCAAGGTATGCAATATCATACAAAATGCACATCGGTTGAAATCACCAATGCCGGCAATGGAAACAATTTTAACGCTCATGCAATTTATCAGAAATATCGTCTGTTACACTGCACTGATTAACAGGGGTTCGTTATAAATGTCTGAAATACACATATTCTATAGACCTACTGACACATATGTTACAGACCTACTGATATGAGTCACAGCACACATAAACATTTCAGACATTTGTAACGAACCTGTGCTCCGTCGCAAGATCACTCACTTCAAACGCTATCAGTTTCACGCGTCTCGGATCCACGGTTCCTCAGTTTCAGACGACATGTCAAATAACGATGCTGTTATAGAATCTACCGACTGTTGTCAGGTTCCCATACAATCAACAAATACATTCACGCCTGGTTTCTTCACAAAATGAGCAAAGAGAAAAGTTCGAATTAACTTCCAAAAATAACTCCCTCGTGGAGGTCAAGGTCCCATTCACGGTGTTCACTGTATTTATCCATGCGCGAAATTTGTTCCGGGGGAAAATCGAAACAATTTCAAATCTAACTTTCAGCTCAGATTTCTATTGAAAAACTGGAATCACCCTATAGACATATCATACGCAATTGTATTGATACTAAATTGTGGAATAAATTTGAAGTGTTTGTTAAAATGTCAAAGTACTACTTTGTTTGCCAATCAGCACGCGACAATACGGCGGGCATTTTTATTTTTAATTATAAATTATAAGTTAAAAAAGAACATAAGAGGCAGAGAAAACGTAAATATAAGTAGCGCGCATTATGTTGTTTGCTTGCAAAGCTGTGTCATTCAAATAGATCATAAATACCATACAAAAACATTTCAATGCTTAAGTAACTTTAGTAGACTCTGCTATGCATTGATCTGGATGAGTCCATTATGCTCTACAGTGGTAAAAGGGTTAAAAATGCAATCACTGAGTGCATATTACGTACATCTCTCAAAGACATCAAAGACCCTAAACTCCGTTTACTACAATCATTAATAATCGGACTTAGATTCAATCAGCATATTCATACAGTACTAAAAAAACGTCATCAATGGCCTCTATTGTACAGAAAATGAAGTCAGTCCATACTCTCAAATGCTTTCTCCGATTGTCTCCCTTGACAGGTGGCTACTACACTGCGGTCACAACTCATGGTATCCGTATTGTCGCCCTCAACACCAATCTGTATTTCACATCTGATAAACTGACTGGAAGTCTCCACGACCCGGCTGACCAGTTTGCCTGGCTTGAGACTGTGCTTGCCGCTGCTGTCACCAACAGCGAAAAGGTCAGTGATCGACAAATCAACACTTTCAGGAACTCTCTCGAATCATGGGAAAGTAAATAAATAAAAAAATACTTTTGTGACAGGGATGGGCTAGGTAACTAACCATGACCATGTAATTGTACACTTGGTCGGTTCCATCTGTAAATCCTGGTTTGGTCCTGTTGTAAATTTTGCTTCAGTTACAGTGGGGCCGTGACCAGGATTAGATCCCATAATCTCCGAACTCTATATTCCGTCTTTGCGTATTGCAGAGTTATCTTCTCTTGATAGCAGGTATTGATTGTTACGTCATTTGTTTGTGAGAGTAACGTAATCAATTTTTGAGAAAACGACGAAATTTTCTCACACAAACCAATGACGTATCAATCAATACCTGCTCTCAAAAGAAGATTACTCTGCAATACGCAAAGACGGAATACCAGTATACCGATTCTGATACATAGACGACGACATCGCAACATAATATCGACACCAAACGACGAAAGCACGTATGAAGCAAGAAAACAAAGAGAGCATTGGACTATTGAGTTGATCACCGAACCCTGCGCAGACTCATCTGTAGGTCAGACAGAAAACTGTGTATCCTCCTAGTTTAGTTATTTTGATAATTGAAAGACATACTTTGTATACATCCTAAATATATCGTGATATATATTAAGGACATGGTTCAGAGGGCAAATCATACCTGTGATTGGCTTAATGAAAATTTGTCGAATCAAATATGTCGTAGTTATTTCTTATGATTATGAGCTTCAAGGCAAGTTCTTCAGCGAAATTCAAAGTCGATGCCTCTTGGTATCAGGCAGTTTCCAGAATCGATAAATCCCCTCCATTTTTATATCAGATTTGAGTAAGGCTACTACAAGTATTGTACTGCATGAAATATTGAGTTGAAGGGTTTAAAATATAGACGTTGTGTCCGTATGCGGATCCCTTTTCGTTTGCTTTTAACTTTTGATATTTTTATGATGCTGTCAAAAAAATTACCTATGTATGTACTACAGACTAAAAGATCCCTGTCCCATTACAGACATTTCAAAATCACTTTAGTTTTTTTGTACATAGATACCCTCCCCTTAACTTCGTTTTGGATATGCATAACTATAGCTCCGTTGTGCCAGGATGCTTCTGTTGATCAGGTAGCTTAGTTGGGTTATTCCGTCTTTGCGTATTGCAGAGATATCTTCTCTTGGGAGCAGGTATTGATTGTTACGTCATTGGTCTGTTAGAGAAAATTACGTCGTTTTCTCAAAAATTGATGACGTTACTCTCACAAACAAGTGACGTAACAATCAATACCTGCTCAAAAAAGAAGATAACTCTGCAATACGCAAAGACGGAATAGTATAAGGTCTAGGGTTCGACTCCTGGTCTAGTCCATTATATTTTTACACTCAGAACACTGCTGTTGTATTTTTTTAAATTAAACTTTTTTTTTCATAAAATCTCGCAAGGTATATTTTTCTTTTCAAAAATGATTTTTCGAAGCTAAAGTCATGCCGATAGATACGTTTTCAGTCCATACTTACAATGTTTGACAGCGATACGTGGATCCGTAATCAAAAACCATGGTATCGTAGTGTAACCAACATCAATACAACATTCTTTATTCAGGTACTAGTAACAGGTCACGTGCCGCCCGGAGTGGTCGATACGATGGGGAAACCTTGGATGTACCCACAGTTCAATGCGAAACTGAACGACATTATTAGGAAATATTCTGACGTCATCATCGGCCTCCATTTTGGACATGAGCACATTGATAATTTCCGAGTTTACACGAAATCTGGTATGTTGCTTTGTATCTGTACACAAGATTTATAACTGTATCAACTCGATAGGTTTTTATCATGAATCAATCAGTTACATTGCTCCCTGAATCAACCGATCAATCAAGTCACTAATCAACAATTTAGCTCTTTCCCGAGATAACCAGTAAGTTTATTTTGTACAACACGTGATTAGCTGTTTCATTAATCAACCAATTAGCATATTAGCTGATTCAACCAGTTAGCGGTTTCATGATTTCATTGAAATATTCGACTCCCACAGAATAATACAAACTGCGTGTTAAATTATAGTATACATTGGTGTAACGTCTAGCTTATAGTGATTGTTTTGATGTTATATATCCAAACATGTGAAGAAAACAGCTAAGCTTTCTTCACAGTCTCCTTACTTGATATGACGCAGATCAATTTCAGTAGAACATGTAAGTGTTACCGTTTAATTAAAAAAGTATCTACTGTTTTCATTCAGATCCCTAAAACAAATAACAACTCAACATTTAAAGTCGTTTTTGATAGTAACATTTTTACTTTTGATCAAAATATGCAAAATATATCAAACTATTTCCGGATATGACGATAAAGTTTCAAAAACTCTTTTTAAAGCATTATTTTTGTCAGTGATCGAGCGTGAACAGCACCACATTATCACGGAAATCACGATAGTTTGAACAAAGTCTTGATCACCGAATTAGCTGCGTAATGTAGGAACCACATACTGTAGAAGTATGGATGTTGCGTACTTACTAACCAGGAAGGGAAGGTTCACGATAGATAATTCGAGATCGTTTGACTTATCAAACAGCATTGATTTTAGTCGAGGACGACAACTAGTACAGAGGAGTATACAGTGTCCTTCAGATCAAGTTCAGTAGAATATACAATGTACACGAACAACGTTGTGCATACATTTCTTGTTATTCAAAGACAGAAAATCGTGTTTTAAAATCAAATTGGAGGACTTGTCAATGATTTGTAACCAGCCTTGGTAAGCTCTTTAATAAAGACAGCCTCGTATAAATTTAAAAACAAGTCAACTTCACTCACCACAAGAGGAGCACAGATTGTTCCCATAGCAATGCCTACATTCTGCTGGACATTTTTGCCAAAGAACTAAACCAAGATATTGTCAGCCAGGAACTCGCAACTTCATCCTCTGTATATTTCTATTTGGCCTTTGGTGTGTTTACCACTAAATATGTTCCCAAAATGTTAACAGTCGCATAGTGTATGCCGGTAGATTTTAGCTGCAATTTAATGAGGGCGAATTTATCATTACGTGATCAGTTAACAGTATCATTTGTAAACAATTTAAAATGCATGTACATTCGACAGGGCGAACATTTGCCGTTATACAGTATTCATATCACTGTTCACCTTTCTTGGAAAGGAAAGCTCTCATAATAAGTGGTGTTACATGGTAGTATGGTACAGTAGATAGCGCGCTTGCCTTTTACCAAGGCGGCCGTGGTTCGATTCCCCGATCGGACGTGAAAAGGTATGGGGTCACCTGCCCGACGACGTGGTTTTTTTCCGGGTACTCCGGTTTCCTCCCACACTAGGACTTCATCTGGGCCAACAAGAGTGATTAATACAACTAATATATTTTTAATGTCAAACTTGACATAACTTGTTTCATAATTGTTGTAATATAAAATAAAATATTAATACAAAATTGTTTCAAACTTTGATACAACATGTTTCATACATTGTATATGGAATAAGAAAAAACAAACAATGTGAATATCTTAAATATTATTAGATACTTTGAAATTTAGGTTTTGGGTCAAACAATCAAATGTTTTATTATCAGATATACCTGCATCTTGAATTGTGAAGTGTTACACTGACTTGTTACCTGTTTTAGGTGTTCCGGTGGCGACAATGTTCCTTGCCCCGTCCGTTACTCCCTGGCGTTATAAGATCCCTGGACAGACAGGCGGTGCTCACAATCCAGCAATCCGGCTGATACAGTATGACCGACAGACGGGGCAACATATCAACATCATCACGTACTACATGGATCTCCCAGCTAGTAACACACAGGGCACCCCAATGTGGGCGGAGGAATACAACGCCACACGGGACTACGCTATTGATGACCTATCGTCAAACTCAATGAACAAGCTCGTGGAGAGAATGAGCGTGTCAAATAGTCCAGAGTTTGCTAATTATTGGAAATGGCGTGTCGTCAGTGTCCAAGACGAAATGTTAGAGGGATGTGACGAAGCATGCAAAGCCAACACTGTTTGTCAATTTAAACATGTAGACCAATCGCCATACGACGCATGCGTGTCAAAAGCCGTGAGCGGCTCGACATATCTGCTACCAAGTTTAATGATGGTTCTAATATTAGCGCTTTCATGTCTTGCAGCTCAGAAATAGTCAGATGAACAGAGACACCAGAGTCATCTCCCTTTGTCAAACTGTTACCTCCCGAATTCCTTATAAAAAACACCAGTACAGTTATTGCTCTTTTCAAGGTCAAAATTATAACCTTGAAATTTAGTATTTTGTAAAGGTTAACATCATGTTATCAAGACAGGGAAACATACATATATTGAGCACACAGTCTGTGTTTAACTTAATGCAGTCACCGAGGCTTGCGTACACAAACACTTCATTGCGTGATTTCCTAATTTAGCTATGACAAATTGCTTAACCTTACTATAACTATAAGTATGAAGAGGTCATACAATTTTTTAAACCAACCAAACCGTTCCTGACGTGTTATTTGAGCGTGTGTGGGGTGCATAGGGGGTGTTGTTTAGGAATCCACGAGAGAACACGTTGCACGAAATGTATGTTGTTGAATATTTAAAAAAAAACACGAAGTAATATCTTTAGTTAATTAACTTTAAAATGTTATCTTGGTGCATATTCTGATGCGGGAAAACGGAAACAATCAAACAAAATCTGTCGATAACAACCATCCGACATACATATATTGAGGAGGGTTCAAGTCGTTCAAGATAAGCACATTTAACGTAGACTCGCCCATCGTGAAAGCTTCCCATTTATATATATCCACTGCCTCATCTTTAATAAAGAAATAAAGATTATTTATTTTCTTAAATGATATGACTATGTTATTGGTTAATTTAAATTTAGTCAATATGACAATAACACTTGAACTTGGTGATGAACCTAACTAAACTGTGGGTTCACAAGCAATGCTGTGTTGATAAATACCAAGGACGGAGACTTCGTCAGGTTACATTGCTATATATACTAAATTGTGAGTTCACAAATAATGCCGTGTTGATAAATACCAAGGACGGAGACTTCGTCAGGTTACATTGCTATATATTCCTGTTTCTCCAGGGATCGTTCTTAGTTACGTCATAACGTCGTAATCAAGCTGTAAACGTGAAAATTGTCGAATGAAAATGAAGATAACGTTCTCTGCACTGAACGGAAACTAGCGTAACCGCTGAACAGTCGAAGATGGCATTAGTGTATTGGTAGACATGGTTTGGTTTGGTTTGTTGTGGTTTAAGTCCTATTAACGGTTATGTCCATGTATTGGCGGTGGAGGAAAACCGAAGTTCCCGGAGAAAAACCAACGACCTGCGACCAGTACCGGGCGACCGCCCTACATAGGCCCCGAAACACTACCCAGTGGTGGAAGACTAGTGGTCCTAAGGGTTAGACGCCTTAACCACTCAGTCACCGCAGCCGAAACACTACCCTGTGGTCCTGACGGTTAGACGCCTTAACCACTCAGTCACCGCAGCCGAAACACTGTAAACATTAACAAAGCCATTCTATTCTATAATAAAGTTTATTTCATTTAATGAATAAAACAACTGCGTCGTACAGACATCGGTATTATATCACCGATGACGTAACAACGACAAAGTAAATGCAATCATACATAGCGATGACGAATTGGTGAAACAAACATGGCCCCAGGTTACAGAGGGTCACACCTCTCCATTTAGTATTCATGACAGTGAATAAGTCGTTCCATTTAACCACAAGTAACATCAAATAACAAATTAACAATTCCATTACCACTTAAATCATTCAATGCGAAATAACTATCGCTATGTGTCGCGTGTACTGTATTTCGCGAGCTTTGCCTGTAGGTATTCGTGTGTACTGTATTTCGCGAGCTTTGCCTGTAGGTATTGGTATGTACTGTATTTCACGAGCTTTGTCTGTAGGTATTCGTGTGTACTGTATTTCGCGAGCTTTGCCTGCAGGTATTCGTGTGTACTGTATTTCACGAGCTTTGCCTGTAGGTATTCCTGTAAAATGCACTTTCAATATTTCAAGTAATTATCATTTTAAAATAATATTCCAGAAGGACTTGAACCGCGAATGTGTTTTTTAAGAACTTACGCGAAGCTTAATTTCTCGCGAGAAAAATCCCCTTTAACTAGTGAAATCGTGAGATCATGTAAGTTGTTAGTTTGATCATCTCGTTTAACTAGTTTAATCGTTAGCAGATTTCTCATTTAACTGGTAAATTATAACAAGCCATCCATTTTAACTAGTTAAATCGTTAGAAGATCATCTCATTTAACTTGTTAAATCGTTAGAAGATAATGCCTTTAACTTGTAAAAACCGTCACCTGATTTAACTAGGTAAAATATTAAATGATCATCCCTCTTAACTAGGTAAAATATAAGAAGATCATCCCTCTTAACTAGGTAAAATATTAGAAGATCATCCCTCTTAACTATTTAAATTGTTAGTTGATGACCTACTTTAACTTGTTAAATCAACAGATCATCTAAATCGCATTTAACTAGTTAAATCGTTAGAAGATCATCCCATTTAACTAGGTAAATTATAAGAAGCCATCCCTTTTAACTATTTAAATTGTTAGTTAATCATCGCATTTAACTAATCAAATCAATAGATCATCTAAATCGTCAGTTTGTTCATGTTAAAGTATCCCATTTAACAAGCGAAACCTTTAGCTGATCATCCCAGTTAACTAGTTCAATCGTTAATTGATCACCTCAAATAACTTGTTGAATCGATAGTTCATCATCCAATTTAACTAGTGAAACCTTTAGCTGATCATCCCAGTTAACTAGTTAAATCGTGAGAATAGATTACCCATATAGAGTAGGACGGTTAAACTTTAGTTTATCATTCCATTTGACATTATCATTTAACAAGTTAAACCGTGGGTTGATTACCTCATTAAACTAGGTAAATTATTAGAAAAGCATCCCTTTTAACTAGTTAAATCGTTAGTTGATCATCCCATTTAACTAGTTAAATAGTCAGTAAACCATTCAATTTATCTAGTCAAATCTCCATTAAATAATCTCTATTTTATCATTTAAATCGACAATTAAACCATCCAAATCAACTACCATTTAAATCAGCAGTTAATGCATGCAGCTATCAACTAAATAATTTCCTTAATCTTTAGGCATTTAGAGAAGAAATAACGTTTTTCTGCTTTTATTTTCGTAATTTTTCTGAATAAATTTTACCTACGAGAGTTTAAATACAGAAAAGGACTAATCATACAGACATGTTCTACGTGGGTAATTGAGAGGAAACTTTGTGCAGATTCACAACACATGGAATTTAATGATAAATTTCAACGTTTTTGCTATTTCACTAGTTTCACCGATTAAAATAGATATTGTTTTATCTTATTTCTAGTCATTGGTATTGTGATATAGCCCAAATATATTGTGGCGGATTGTTAATTAATCAATGAAACTACTAACTAAGAAACAAAATATATCATATCAGTAACTGCCTTTCTTATGTCAGGGTATAAGGATCAAAGAAATTAATTGATAAATGCCCAAAACATGACAGGAGCAAATATAGTCCAGCACAACCGAAACAATGTTGTAAACACAAAATCCAATTAAAATCAGATTATAATACCGTCTTTGATGACAGTCTTCGATGACAATTCATCGTAGAAAAGTGGGAATTATGACCTGCTTTTAATTAGATTGATAAACACGCATCAAGCACTATAACAATTTAAATAAATTCCAACAAAATTGTATACTATATATAAACTGCCTATTTCTCTTTAACTGTACACACATGCTTACATGTACAACATACCACCTATGCATGAGTGTAAACAAACACTACATATTCTGTACACAAACATATATGCACTCGTACTATCATGTACATATACAAATACATATCGGACAACTGCACTCTTATTATCATACACACATGTACATGAACACAGGGACCTGATAATTTGTAACAGCTACATCTGTATATTTGGACCAAAGGTTGGGACCTGATAATTTGTAACAGCTACATCTGTATATTTGGACCAAAGGTTTTTACATGTTTTAGGGGTTTATTTAGATCAACATTCAACATCATTTTTACCGAAAGTCGATCTAAACCCCTAAAAGATGTAAAATTACTCTGAACATCCTAGTTTTGGTCCAAATATACCTGTAACAAATTCCCAGGTCCCTGTGTACATGAAGTTATCACATACAATTATACTCATTCTCCATGTTTATAGATATGACACATCTACAATCTACATATAACAAACTAACACTCACACATGTACACATTTAGAGGTGAAAGTACACCTGCACTCAGATATGTACAATGGATGCACATGTGTACATGTAACATTTTCTTTCACATGTTCATAACAGTTTCATCTAACGTTACTGCAGGCCAATTCGCCACCCTGTGATGAAAATGCCATATGAGGTCATAATACATAAGATGTGACGTAAATAACGTCACAATAGTCTTAAACCCAGTTGAAGCCCCCAAACATTTTGACAAGAAGAGGTAATTAATTATATTATTAATGAAAACAATATGAACTATCTTGTAAAAAGTGGTCTGTGCGACAGACATCTCGTCAACTAAACTCATTAATCTGAGCCATGTTGGTTGTTATTTAGTGTAAATGCATTAAATACAAATTGAAAATACGCATATCTCAACGCTAATTGCAGAAGATTTGATTCATATAGGCATTTCAGTCAAATCTTCTTCTGTACTGGTGCTTGTCGGCATTTTGATACCTGCGTTTTTGTACATATTATTAACTCAAACCCTTACTAATGTGACAAATTTGCCTGCACTAACATAAGATATTCACAACGCCGACTCAATATGTGCACATATATATAATGCACATGCACATGTGTACATGACACAAAAAAACCTCACACACTTGCACTCACATGTACACAACAGATGCAAAATTTATGTATACAATAACACGCACTCGCCCATGTACACACATGATGCACATATGTACCAATAATACTTGTACACCCACACATTCACATAATGAATACAGGTGTGTAGAAATGACTTAACACTCGTGTACATAAAATGCACATATGCTATAATAACTTGTAAAAAAGAAGTTAAACATTCACACCTACACGTGTCTCACACATTCAATAGATGAATATATATATATATATATTTATCCTTAGTTACAAGCAAATATTGAAACCGACACATACCAACGACTGCATAAAATGATGATTAAATGTTTTCAACAGATACACAATTTAAGCGTACTCATTCGTTCATGCATAATATTGTGTAGGGCATCAAGACAGTAAGTTCTGTAAATCTGTGGCAGTATTTACAAAATTAATATGATCACTGTTCTGTACCTCCGACTAAACTTGTGCATACATGAAGTTTATCCTCACACATTGTGATTGATTTTTAGTGCTGAATCAATCTTCAAGTAGCTCATACAAACTCTATGGAAAATGAAAATTGAATTTAAGGAAATTTGAAGGATCACTGTATTGTACCTACGACTTAATTTGTGCATATGAAGTTCAACCTTAAACATGATTGCTTTTGAGAAGTTATTTATTTCAACAGAAATAGATCCTATAAATACCAACATGTAGCGTTTAGTCAATTTGAAAGTAGCTCATGCAAACTCTACGGAAAATGAAAGTAGAATAATTAACTTTTATTTCCACTGACAGGAAATTAAAATCAGATATGCAAACATGGTCAAACTGACCAAATACTGAACTTGGTTACTGAAGCTGAATAGAAGTTGCCCTAGTAATACATAGTGTTGAGTAAATTGTCTATTTCCATGACAACAAGACATATTTGTCCCTTCCATTATGTTTCCTCCTTCACTTTTGCATTAACACTGTCCGGTATGCTTGTGCTCAGATTGAGAGGACGACTGGCCTGGCCTGCTTTTGATGTATAAATTCCCTGGAGTTTTGCTGCAAGTATGGACGCAGTTGACTTAGAGATGTTGGTCAAGTGATACATCTGAGAAGATGGCATTGACCCCTTGGATGACCCCGAACTTTGACCTTTTGATCCTGACCCTGCTTTCTCCACATGCATTTTTCCACTTGCGCTCACTTTAACAAGTCTCCTTTGTTGGTTAGCACGGTGTGGAGAACTGTCCCTCTGGTGTGGGGAACTACCTCGAGACTGATCGGAATTGTCTTTTAGGTGATAGTTACCACCAGGATGGAGAGAACTGTTCATGGCTTTCGAAGTGCTGTTAATAAAGTCAGGGGAAGTATTCACAAGGTTTTGAGAATTATTCAACTGATTTGGGGAACTATTCACTGGGTATTGGGAACTCTCTCTGGGGTGAGAGGAAATGTTCATTGGGTGGACTGAACTCTCCTTTGGGCGAGGAGAACTGTCCCTGGGGTGAGGGGAACTTTCTTTGTGATAATGCGAGTGCCTTTCATTACGGGGAAAATGTTCACGACGAGGTTGATTACTATCCCCTGGTTGGGGATCTACCATAGCAGTCTTATTATGAATAAAGTTGTGATGCAGAGGTAGGGTTAGGACTGAGCTCTGAAGGGAAGGTGTATGGCTATGTTGAGATGATTGGACTTGGCTTGTAAGGGATTGGGCTTGGCTTGCAGGGGTCTGAACTTCGCTCTGAGGGTGAATGGCTCGAATCAAACGGGATTCTGTTTGGTTTTGATGGGTATGTCCATAGCTTTTAGGGGGTTGGGCGTGATGAATGTCATCTGGGATGTGCTTTATATCACGGTGAGGGGAAGGGGTAGATCCATTAGATTCAAAACCTTGTCTTGAAACACTGTGGGGCACCGTGGCAGGGGAAACCTTTCGGGGAAGTTCGGACGAGTTATTTTCAGGTCGACTTTGAGATTGTGGTATCATGTGGTCAGATTGGTCAAGGCCATTAAGCATGTTTGTAGGAACGACATTGATCAGTTGATATCCAGAGAATCTACTATCGCTGTTCATCTCCTTCTTAATGTTATTGAAGTCAGGAACAGCCAAAGGTTCACTTCCTAAACATCGGGCAATTGCCCCATGGTATGGCCTCACGGATGACAAAGACTCGCTTGAATTGGAGTCAGTGTTCTGATCAGTCAATCTAAATGTTTTGGGGCCGGACGTGTTCAAGTTATCACTGCCAATTATCAGATGAGATTTGCTTGGAATTCTAGGAATAGGAATCTGAAAACAAAAGCAATAGAGAACAAAAGTTTAGTGAATATCAAACTGTTCTTAAACAAATAAGCAGACATACCTGTCGCACGGTGGACAGACAGACAGAGAGACAGACAGATGACGGAGGAGCTGATAACTAAAGTGTACCGCATCTTCGATGTGGTGCCCTAATTGGTGCAACAGTTGAGATATTGTATGTGGTGTACATCCTTGACATTTAATAGATGATTACCATCATGACAAACATACTTCATAGCTGTCAACCCACTTTCATTAGGAGGTAACCTCCTCATTTGACCAAAGTTTATCAATTGCACTCAAAACTCCCTCATTCATTCCCAAACTCGCACTCACATAAACTGAAGATCTTCGTCCTGTTGTCGAATTGTCTTCTAGTTAATACATGGTGTGTGTAATGATCATAACATGTGTCTGAATCAAATTAATATGTTTTTTTTTAGTTATTTTGATACTTAAAAAGGGAAATATAAATTGAGCAAAGCAGTTTCAGTTGCATTTCACGTACTTACTCCCTCATTGGAAATGTAGAATGAGGGGGATCTCCCTCATTGGGGGTTTCAGAGGCCGACAACTATGGTACTTACAGCTGTGAAGTATCATAATAAAATCTATCCAGATATATTCAATGTATGGCTGCTTCAGGGATGAGGAAATTATCTTCATTTAACATTATAAAAGTTCACCTCTGACAAATTACACTCATCATGGCAAATATAACTGAATACCTGTTGATAGACGATACTGAAATTATACACATATATAATGTTGACCTTTGAACCAACCTTTTTGGTTGGAGTCATGTCCTTGAGCTCATGGTAAGCCTGGGAATCCATTCCCTTCAGTAGTAAAGTAGCAGCCTCCTGGAAACCACGCGCCTGGGCTGCCATGACAACCGTGATGCCAGCATAATTTGCTAGATCCACGTTGGCGCCATTTACCTGAAGAAACTCGACCATTGGCAGGTAGTTATGTTCTACTGAGTAAAACAGGGGTGTTTTCCCACTTTTACCATCCTACAGAAGATACAGACCGTCAGTAAGTGTACACATAGCAATACGGTAATTCAATAGATATATTCCCTATCCAGGGGTCGACGCTACCCATTCCCACTTTTTCCATCCTACAGAAGATACAGAACGTAAGTAAGTGTACACATAGCAATACGGTAATTCAATAGATATATTCCCTATCCAGGGGGCGACACTAACCAGTCCCACTTTTACCATCCTACAGAAGCTACAGACCGTCAGTAAGTGTACACACAGCAATCCGGTAATTCAATAGATATATTCCCTATCCAGGGGTCGACTCTTACACTAGGCCGCTAGTACTGGACTAGTAGATTTCAGCGAGAAGTCAGGGGACGACACTAACACTAGGCCGCTAGTCCTAGACTAGTAGATTTCAGTGTGAAGTGAGGGGTCGACACTAACACTAGGCCGNGATATATTCCCTATCCAGGGGTCGACACTTACACTAGGCCGCTAGTCTTGGACTAGTAGATTTCTGAAAGGACTAGTGAAACACCTAACCTAACTGGTCCTTTGTTTGGACTTTGGAAAAATATCGTTACAAAATAAAGATATTCCTTTTTAAAATTAAGTGGACTGCTTAAAATAAGATATATTGCATGAAAATTGTCAAAATTTTCCTCAAAACCATATTTCTATGGCAGTAGTTATTTTAAGTCCCCTAGAGTCAATTACTTTCAATGTTTCATGCTGTAGATTGCTCATGCTCCATTTAATGTAAACATATAACAAAACATTAAATGGAAAATATTTACGAATGGATCTAGTATTTAAGACATGCAAGAGAAGGAAAAGTAGTTTTAACCTAAAATTGTCATCAGTGAGTGGTAAGAATTGGGGAGATTTTCGACATCCATCATTGAATGATTAACACTGACAGGTTGAAAAGAAATTCAATATAATGATCAATTTTTTTCATAAACATAATGTTGAAATAGTATATTATATCCATCTACTTTTACCACTATCACCTACCGCAAAACATGTATCAAATTTATGAATGAAATAGCAATGAAACAAAGTTGAAATGTTGGTTTCAGAGGAAGCTATATATCTAAAATAACTCTTTTTCCCCTTTTTCTCTGTGTGTTAGTTTTATGATTTTCAAATAATTATGCATAAACCAAATTAAAGAATCAAATTTGGCATGTAAAGAATAACTACAATATGTCTTAAAACTGATGTTTATAATAGGTTTTAAATGTGTACCATGCAAGTTAAAATGTACCTGCACAACCCAACTCTACCTTGGAAATAATTTTCCTTCGTATCAATGTTCTAGTAAATATCAAAGGATTTGGTTTTTTAAATCGAGCCGCCGATTTAATCTGTCTACACTTACCAGAATGTTGATATCAGCTCCGGCTCGAAGTAACATATCAACAATCATGATGTCATTCCTTTCAACTGCTGTGTGAAGGGGAGCTAACCCTGTAACAGATTTGCATGTATGAAAAATACTTTCATTTCCGCTTAATGTTTAGATTTCACTGTACATAGAATTCACAAAACTTCATTTCCATTATATACAATAAATAGTATACATGTATTATATACCTAGCATATATGGTGAGAGTACCACAAGGTTTTACTCTCTACAAGAGGGTAAATAGTATATATTGTGAGAGTACCACAAGGTTTTACTTTCTACAAGAGGGTAAATAGTATATATTGTGAGAGTACCACAAGGTTTTACTATCTACAAGAGGGTGAGTAGTATATATAGTGAGAGTACCACAAGGTTTTACTCTCTACAAGAGGGATTTATATAAGCTGATATAACTTGCGCCATTATTTTTTATAAAGTGTATATATTAACTACTATATACAGTAAAACCACAATATCATACTCTTTATTCTATTTGCCACCTCATTTAAATGTTAACACATTTCATGGTCCCTTTTTTTCCCTTTTTCTGAAGAATTCCTTTGTATTCCCTCAATTTATCGCCAAACGTCTATAGAATGCCAAAACTTCTTTGGACAAACACAATGTTTTCTCCATAAGGGGGGATTGTGTACATCCCCGATAAGTTTCTATAGAGTGCCTATATCACACAACCAGTACCCCCGATTTTTTCAAACCTGGAGAAAACACCGAAGTAGTGGCTGTATAACAGGTTTTTACTGTAGTATCTACAGCGACCTTGACCTACCTTCAAAGTTCCTGGTGTTCAGGTCGGTCTTGTTCTGAGAGTGTTGTATCATGTATTTTAGACAGGCTGAGGACTGGACCTTAACAGCCAGGTGGACTGCATTCTCCCCACGCTTGTTGACTAGGTTAGGGTTTGCTTTGGCGAACAGCAGAGTCTTCACTGCATCAACAAAGTCCAACTCAACTGCCAAGTGGAGTGGGGTCTATACAACAAAACAAAATAAATACTGAGGTCAATTGACTCATTTCACAACCTCAGGTCAAACCAGTGCACAAAGGTCAAGTCTATTTGCGAATGTAGGGTCACAAATATGTATTTAAAACCAACTTGTCTGGCAAGCTAGGTGACGATACAGGTTTCAGATTTACTTGCAGGCTGTTGCTTTTATGAAAATCGTTAGACAGATACTATATCTATCTAGACATGTCCCAAGTCTGACAGGTTTTGTGGAAGTTACAAACTAACAATCTGTAGGGCAGAGCAAAATATCGGACAGTTATATCCATTTAAGTCTGAGTTAACTATTTTCTTGAAGATCTGAAAATCCTGTTTATATATTTCACCATTATCCAAATAATTAATTTCGTAAAGATCACTGCCCCACTGCATATACTAAGCCCGAGTTAATTATTTTCTTGAACATCTGAAAATCCTGATTATATATTCCGCCATTATCCAAATAATCAATTTCTTGAGGGTCCCTGTCCCACTACATGTAACTAAGTGTTAATTACTTTCTTGAACATCTACAGAATCCAGATTATATGTTCCATCATTTTCCAAACAATACGTTTCGTAAGGATCCCTGTCCGACTGCAGATACAGCACTACCGTAGTACTATTTGTACATACAGTCAGACATACATGTACAGTGACTACTGTACTCCTATAACATAAGAGGCCGCTGGACGGTCTTTTTTCTATCAGATATGATTTTGCCGACTGCAACGGCGCCTGTCAAAAGTATCTTGCCGTGTAAACCTCTTACACTGTTGGAGTAGTACAGTGACCTCCTGTAAATGTTATTTCAGACTTATTGTAGAATGACCGAGTCTGACGGTAAAAAGTGACAGTGATCAGAGGTCCAGGGTCCGTATCCTTGTCTTGCCTCGTTGCAATTTTAAACTTGGAACACTGTTTGTTTATTCTATTTTATTTATTTTATGTTTATTGTTCTCTCATAAATGTCTTGTAAGGTATAATTTTCTTTAAGAAATGATTCATCAAAGCATTAACCCTTTCAACCCTATGTAACTTTAGTAGACTCTCCTATGCATTGATCTGGATGAGTCCATAATGGTCTACAGTGGTGAAAGGGTTGAACTTGAAAATCATTTCCAATGCATAGTTAAGGATTTTTGACAATGTTACAGGGATCCTTATATATCTAGTTTCATAAAGGCTTGGTTTCAGGATTTTTTAAAAGTAATAATTTGTATATGATGCAATTATTTACCGATGTGTATATGTATTATTAACCGAAATTCATACCTGTTAGCCCCTGAATTTCCCAGTGGGGTTCATGACCCCCAATGGGAAATTCTACGGGGGTGATAAATTCATAATGCGTGACAAAATGGCAAAGTCAAAATTAATCATTTTGTGTTGTCACAGCATAACATATGATATGTCTTCTGGTATGATTTAGGAATAAATAAAACAAATTTTAACACATTTTTCGAATTATTGCAATTTAAGACATACCGTATTTGACCGCAAATAAGCCCCCTCTCACAAATAGGTAAATCCCCCTTCCCACTTTGGCAAATGTCCTGCGAACAGGGTGGGTGACTGCAATTAAGCTCCCTCCCTAATTTTGTCTCCATCTCAAAAAAAATGTATGTCAATTTTTGTCTGTGACATAAGCAATTTAGCTAAATGGATGCAAAACAACATAAACCCAAGTTAAAATACTACAAATAACTATGTTTCTGAATTAGACACAAAAGTAAATAGCATGTAGTGACATGTACCCTTTACTGAGTGCTGTGATTCTGTATTATTTTATTTTATAAAGAATTATGTATTCATGAGTATATTACTCACAACCCCGACACCGAGACCCTGTGTCCAGTCTTACCTGTTGAGCTTTGTTATACTTGTCCACACTCTTCCCAGAGATGGACATCAGATGGACAAACTTCTGGACCATGACAATGTTCTCCTGAGCCACAGCAATATGTAGAGGTCTGTAACATCAAAAAACAGATGATGAAACTGTTTTTTCTTACATTCTCATTGGCTCAGAATCCTAATCATGTTTAGGTTGTTGGTCTTTATGATATCAACTCAGTGTTACTTTTTTTTAGACACTTCAAGTTAAAATTCTCTTTATGACATCACTTTATATATATATAAATCTTTGTGTCTGTGTGACATAGTATGCTCTCTGAAAAATGTAGTATTTTCTCTTCAAGGTTTGTTTACACAACTTTTTCTTGGTCAATATCACTTCCTCAAGTCCACATTGATAATATATATATAGGATCTTACATGAGTTACGTATGAGATTTATGAAACGAGTCTAAGAATTTTTCAATTTAGCAGGCCTCTGGCGAGCTAAAATGAAAAATGCATGACGAGTTTCATAAATTTCATATGAAATCAAAATGAGTGTGAAATCCTTTTTATCACATAATCAAGATTTGTGGCCTTTATTCGTGTAAAACGACCATTTTCATGCAACGTTGAAATGTAAAAAGTCACCATTTTGACTCCAGTGTATAAGTCTGTGACTTCATGTACTTGTCCTAGGCATGACGTCACAATGGAAATAATGGAAACTTACAACCAATCACAGTGCTGATAGGTCATATGACATGGTTTAATACGCAAAATAAAATATGACATGGGTATATTCACTGGATAATGCAGTACATTATATATATGTGATAAAACCAGATTCTCGCTTCAACAAAAGTCCATAATTGACAAAGGTTTTCAATAAAAACATAGTTTGCCCTAAAGACTGACAGCTTGCTTTATGCAAATTTGTTAATATTGACGACTTTTGCTATATATGATGTCAATACCAATATATACATCTCGGCTGGTAATTAAACACAAGTTAGGCCCAGAAAAAATATTGTTCTGTTTCATTTAAACCAAGCTTCTTGTACTTGTTTGCATGACAACCTTGTGTTTTTCATAGGCATTTTCAAAGAAGGACTACTTATTAGTAAATCTGATATCCTTCTATAGCTAGATAACTAAAACAGAATTATAAAAAAAATGACCTATCCCCTCCATTTATTTCTGGTTAGTTAGTGGAAACACAGCTTCTTATTTTCACCTGTCTGTATCTGCTGTATATATATATATCTATCTATGCACCAAGGCCTGAACAATCTGATATGACTGTCCAATGGCTCAGGGCCTGTAGATTAATTTCATGTACACACGGAAATCTGTCTCTACTTGCACAACAAACCAATGCAAATGATGCATCAGATATTACTACATTATACTAATGGTATATTGATTTATGGTACAGGTCTCTCAAATGTAACAGACATATACTGTAACAGACGGAAACTTTGTCAAAAGACATTAACTCATTCACTCCTCAAGGCATATATTGAACTCTTCCTATTCAAAGGTTGGAAAAGTTCATTATGAAAGTTCAGGGGTAAATAAGTTAATAATATTATATAGACAATCTTCATATACTATTTTGGAGGTATTTATTGTTTTTGAATGCTGGTTTTTGGAAGACTTTATTTTTTTGTCTGTCTTTTCAAGTCCAGCCAAATTCTGAAATGAACTTTTAAAATTAAGTTTCACTGTGAAAACACAAATTGCAGAACGTAAAATCTGTTTGTCTTTAAAAGGAATGACCAAGATTTTTTTTGGTATACGGTATATACCAAGACAAAATCCTGGTCATTCTTTATAATTTAATTTCAAAAAAGTAGACAAACACGTTGTAAATGCACAGTTAAAGATTTTTTTTTACGTAAACTAAACAATTGCGCTAAAAAAAAGCTGCATTGTAATTTTGCATTCTGAAGTGTAAAAAGTAGTTCCGTCATCAGTTGTTTTTCCTTTTAGGTATATACAATATATACCAAAAAAATATTATAGGGGAGATAGGCAAAATCAAATTATTCCTATTCCATCTTTGCATATTGCAAAATCAAATTATTCCTATTCCATCTTTGCATATTGCAGAGTTATCTTCTCTTGGGAGCAGGTATTGATTGTTACTTCACTTGTTTGTGAGAGTAACGTCATCAATTTTTGAGCAAACAAAGTAATTTTCTCACACAAACCAATGACGTAACAATCAATACCGGCTCCCAAGAGAAGATAACTCTGCAATATGCAAAGATGGAATATATACTTACAAGTCACCGTCTTCATCCTGTTGAAGAGCCACCTGCATCTCTGTTAGAAGCATAAGACTTGTACGGGGGTCAACACTAACAGGGTTCAAGGTCGCTGAGGTCACTGGGGTCACATTGATAGGGACTTCTGGGACAGTGGGGACAGAAGGAGGTGCAGCTGAAAATGGAAATATATTAATGAAGTAATGTAAGGCCAAATTACAATAGTTTCTGTCACGTCAACCTGTTTTTTGCCTTTTTAGGTCATTTATTTTGATAAGGTAAACATTTAAAAAATTTAATTATCATATGATTACGCTTAATAATAAAAGTACTTAGGGATTAACTTTAGCCCACATTTCCTCAGGCCCTGACATCAAACCAATACATTTTGACAGATATAAGTGTCTTGTGTGGGATATATATCTGTCAAAATGTCTCAAGTCTTGTGTGAAGGCCAGAGAAACCTTAGCTATGATAACATAGCTTTCCGACGACAAGAGATTTGTTTTGTATATTGCGGGGCAGAGGAGGCTGGGTATTAATATAAGTACTAGAAAAACCTCAGGCTAGGTTAACTTGTTTAGGTTATAAGAAAATACTGTGTACTTTTGTGTCTAAATGGTAAATCGCTTAGCGAATTTATGCATAACACACATATTTTTTTCCAGTATATACAGTGTATTGAGCTTCGAAAATCAGGACTACATTCATTTGGGTACGATTCATCCAGTTAATCATTTACATATATATATAGCTAGTTGAATGAAGATTAATGCAAGTCCAAGATATACAGGTTTCCAAAATCAAATGTCATGATACTGCAGTCATATAGTACCTTAAGGAAGGCATACATATATATCTTTCTGGTATGAATGTAAGCAAAGTAGCCTGCCCTTTTTGTCTGCATGGTAGATTCTTTATTTGAGAAGGAAGTAAATCAAAATTATGACGGGATACAGATAAGTTAGTTTCACTTTGTCAGACCTAGGTGTTACAACATCATATCATATTATTATTCAACAGGTTGGGCACAATGGCGCATATGGGTAATAATCCTGCATTAGGGTAACAGTTACCCATTTGAGTAACAATTTTATTCTTGGCTTTACCTTGGACTTGCTGCCGTAGAGTAGATTCTGGTTCAACTTTAACCTTAGTAAGGTCTATAACATCACCAGCTTGTTCCAGTTTGGTTTCTTGACTCGTTTCCATAGGAACACTTTCCTCGTTAACAGTTGTGTCAATGTTTAAATAACTCAGTAACTTTCGTTTCTTTAGAGGAAGCGCAGAATCCAAGGAGTCAAATTTATTACTGTTGTAAGGAGGTTGAAGAAGTTTTTCCACAGTAGACTGGGTAAACTCTACACTGTCTGTACTGGTCACAGAGGCTGGACTGACCATAGCAGTTTGACTGGTCAGCGACTTCACCTCTGCATTGTCATTGTTTATCACAAGTGGAAGTTTTAACACCAAATGTTCACCTGAAGTCTGTCTATGATCTCTGGCCGTTGCATTTAACTTTGATAGAATAGCGATCTGCAACGCACTTGGTATTACTGGGTTAGGGTTAGTGGATGGGGCTACCACACCCCCTTGACGTGACCTGGGGGGCACTGAAGCCACACGAGAATGTGTTTCCTGTCTGAGGGGCATCACCCTTTCCATTGCCTTACCCTCAAGGCTTCTCTTGACCCCTACTCCAAGGTCTGTCCTTCCCCCAACACGAGACACTTCGTGAGCAGCATTTTTTACACCTTCAACCATGTTGTTGACACCCTGGGGACTTCCCGAAGGTCTAACTGAACTATCTCCTCGTTGATGATTGGCGGAGCGTGCCCCTCGGCCTCTCCCGCTGCGGGACTTTCCCCGTTTCGATTCCGTCCCAGTTTTATTCCCTTGAGGGGATTTCTGAGAATTTCGAGTCCGCTTCTGGCCCTTCGAAGCTTCCTTAGGTGGCGAAGCGGCATTGAAATCTTTCTCCAAATCGGAAGATAGAAGAATAACTGAAGATAAACACGACATAGCTTCGGCGGCCGCAATACGGTCCGCTCGTTCCTTCTCGGCCAAGTTTTCAGCGCTGGCGACAACATGCCCAGGCGATTTTTGACCCGATTTGTTCCGTTTTCCCGACATTTTACTCGCACTTTTAACTCTAGTCTCGATCATGGTATGCTAAATGTCCATATTTACATCTTCACAACACCATGCTGTTTTTCAAACGCCCTTGAAACCGTCAACAATATCAGTCGTCAACACATTTCGTACCCTCTTTCGAAACACCTACCACGGAAAAATGGCATTTCGGGAAAGTCCCGCGGTCACGTGTGCTGTTTTGACCAATGACAGGTGCGCTTGCCTGCAAAATGGGGATTTCCCTACAAAAGCACAAACCTGTCCACAACCTATAAATAGGAATGACCTCGCCAAGACTATATTTACTCTGTCGACCCAGTTTGCCTTGTGATTCAGTTCATATGCGTAGTACCAAATTATCGCCCTCGGCGGAGTAGATTCATTTACATTAAAAGGATAATATGTTTAAATAAATTCGCCATAATAATAGATAATTAAACAATCTCAATAATATGAAATCAAAAATAAATTGTTAAAGTCCTGGATAAAAATAGATTGTGGAATGTTTTTTGTTAAGTGCGTAAGCGGCGCCATGTAGTGGACACAATTGCTCAATATCCCGAAATGGACAATAGGATTATCATGTGCGATTTACACATTATTTCATAATTTCACTATCTATCGATCACAATATCTGTACCTTTTCAAACTCCAAAGTTAATAATGACCAATAAAACAGGCAGCCATTTTCTTACACATCTACAGTGTGTATGCTATTTTTAGGTTTATTATGACGTTGACTTATTTGCAGACATGATAAAATGTGCTTTAAAAGACACAATTTCAGAAAGGTTAACTGTTTAGAGTCTGTAGACATAATATTAGTGGAAGTATAAATCATATGACTTTAAATATTTTAAATCCAAATATTTTAACTTTCTATATATCCACGGACTTATAATTAGGTACATCTAATCTAATTCCGTGATATTTGGTGTGATTCTGGTTTTTCCAACCCATGATCCCGGCTAAATATTCACATAATGACGTCTCATAATTCAGATTTGGAATTTTCTTTTTATAAACAAAGAAGTGGACTGTACATTACATGCAAATTGACAGAGATCAATTGTTCTTTTTACATGTATATATGCATATGGTAGTTGGGATATATACACTGTATAAAATGTATATAAAGATTCTGTAATCTATAACTTCCGCCGGGCGTTCATGCGTTAAATGACTATACTGTATTGTGAATTTCAGTATGATAATTTTTTAAATTGTATGGTATTTTTGTAAAAAAAGAAAATCCATTATGCGAACATTCGATCATTACAGTATATAGCTAGGCAACGGTTAACGTAAATAAATATAAAATACAAACCACGACATGTTATTAAATTACTGATACAAGAAGTCCAAATGGTGACAATAGATCTTCATAGGTAGTTGTTTTAACAGGATAAATCTTGTTCCGCTCGGTTTGGATAGATGTTGGTAACATATATCAATTACCGTAGAACTTATAATAAATTCATGATTTTTTTAGCTCATTCATTTACCTAGAGTCGAAAATATTTAAGAACTGTGAACTATTTGTAAACATGTTTTTGAAGTAAATACATTAAGAACTATTTCATGTAAATCAACGCTATGAATTTGAAATGACCGTGTTTTTGTTTAACTGATGGGCCATGAGTGACCAAAAGTAATAAACAATAAATTGAACTGATATATCATCTAACTTACGGTTACATAATAGTTGTTAACCGTTTTTCACTGCTTCTTAATTAGTTCACGATATGTCACAAGTGTCCAATAAGTTGCATGAACAGTCCAATAATTTTGACCAACTGTCCAATGTATTTGACCAACTGTCCAATAAGTTTGACCAGGGATAGTATACGTCTCTGGTTTGACCAACTGTCCAATATATTTGACCAACTGTCCAACAAGTTTGACCAACTGTCCAATAAGTTACCATCTGCCATATAAGTGCTCAACTTAATAGACAGTTATGACGTCACATCCTAGAGAAGAGATGGGCGGAGCTAAATTGGAGTAATTTTGCGATAAAGGTAAAACAAAAATAACAAACATATGGATTTTTAGTAAAATAATAAATCAATATATAATATATAGAATATGTACCAGTGGTGAATTATCATTAGGATCCAACACATATAACAGCTAGAGCGCTTTACCAGCGGTGTACATATCCATGGAATTCAACACATTCACTATTCAGCAGCTAGAGTACTGTACCAGCAGTATATCCTTTGAATCCGTAAAAATAAAAAAAATAACAGATATTCTGTCTATTTCTTGTGTAATTTTCTTCTTTTCAGATAGGTCTGGTAAAATGTTGGGCATAATTGTTGATAATTGTCCAATCCTTCTTTCGCAATATGCAGATGATACTTCCCTTATCTTAGATGGCACAGAGCGCTCTCTCAGGGAATCAATTAGGGAACTAAATGTATATAAACAACTTTCAGGTCTTAAAATCAACTTGGATAAAACACAGATTGTATGGATAGGGAGTCAAAAATATAGCGAGGACGTTCTTTTACCTGAACAGAACTTCAACTTGGGGTGGAACGTTTCAATCTTTTAGGATTAGAATTCCATGTAAACCTTTTTAAAATAGCTAAACTGAACTACGATAAAAATCTTGTTAAACTCAAAAATCTTATCAAGTGTTGGAGCCGTATATCTCTTACTCCTTCAGGGATAATTAGTATAATAAAATCTGTACTTATCTCACAGTTCAATCATCTTTTTTATTGCATTACCCAATCCTGATGATGTTTTTATATGAAAAAAACTTGAACTCAGTCCTTTTCAACTTCTTATGGAATAGTAAGACAGATAAAGTTAAGAGAGAGGTAATTGTACAAACTTACATTGAAGGGGGTCTAAAAATAGTTCATGTTAAGAAATATATAGAAGCTCTTAAGCTAGGGTGGTTCAGGAGAATCTTTAGATCACTTGGTAAATGGCTAGGAATTCTGAAAAAACATGTAGACGTTCAGCTTTTATCTAAATGTGGGAATGATTATCTACACGTAGCGATAACTAAATGTAAAAATATTTTCTGAGAAGATGTATTTCAGGCTTGGTATAATCTTATAGTTAAAGAAGAACTTGTTAGAAATATTAATGATATATCGTATCGGAGTTGATACTTAAAACTCCATTATGGTTTAACAAAAACGTCGTTGTTGATAACCAACCAATTTTCTGCAAAAAAAGGTTCGATGCAGGAATTAGTATAGTGAATGATTTAATAAAAGATAATAGAACTTTTTTTCTTTTAAAATTTTAATGAATTCTGTACTGTGTTTGGTATGGAGTAATCCAAAGTATTAAGAAATACCTGAGGCCTTTTACATCTCCAAGTAGAACATTGACGTTCCCGATTATTCCTCTTAATCTTGAGCTAAGCCAAAAGAAAAAACAGGGTCGCTGGACTTCTACCGTTTACTCCTGAGAAATAATATTAACATAACTGGTCAGCAAAAATGGGGGAATATCTTTGACTATAATGAAAAGAAATGGACTTTTTTTTACAGTATTCCTTTTCGATCAACTCAAAATTCTAAACTCCGTTGGCTACAATTTAAGGTTAACCACTATATTCTAACAAATAACTCTTATGCACATAAAATAGGCTTATCAAACAATCCTAATTGTAATTTCTGTAATAGAGAAAGGGAGAAAATCGTGCATATGTTCTGGGAATGTGATGAGGTTCAGAATTTTCTGGCAAGTTTTGAAAGGTTGTTTAATGCACTAACAATTACATTACATATTAATAAAGAAACATTGTTATTTGGTTTGGTAAATAACACAGGCATTTACAATCGCATTGATAATGAAGTTCTTCTTATATTGTAACAGGGATAGAAATAATGTATTTGCTTTTATGTATGTTTGTTTACTAAGTCAGTCCGTAGCGCGTCGACTGTCCATGTATATGTTTCATACTCCGAGTAATGTAACTACCGCGTCCGAGTGTTGTATTCTAAGCTGTGATGTTACATCTACAGGTGTATTGTGGTGTTCTGCTCGTAACATGTTGATATGTTGGTATACCATACAGTCGTTCGATGGTCGGTAGTGTTACGTCAAGTTGTGTATGCGTTTTCATTGGTTCGTTCTGGGTGGTCAGTTTTGGCGCGTGTTTCTTTGTGGGCAAATAAATATAATTTCATTCGTTTGAGGTACGAATTAGACTGAAATTGTTTTCTCCTGTCGTATGCGTGCTGCATGAGGCAGCATGTAGTGTCCGTGCTTGTGTCGCACGGGTGGGTGTGTAAGGTGTAAGGCGGTCATTCAGAGCGACCACGTCGACACGTTCGCACAGATTTTCTAAAGTACTGAGAGCGAGGTAAAGTAAACACATTTTTCGATGTCTGATCCTGCAGAGGGTTCTTCACTGCCTCCAAGTGATGGAGTTTTAAATTCAGGAGGACAGATAAGTTTAGGAGACATTCTAAACGCCGTGAAATCGCAAGGTGACAGTATTGCGTCTATAAACGCAAATTTACGGCGCGAAATTGGGGAATTGAAGGAGGAAGTAAAGGGGTCGGCCGGGCAGGTGTCCGCCCAGGTCAAGCGTTTAAAGGTGGAACATTCTTTCAAATGGAAAAGCGAGAGTCATAGACTGCAGTTTGCCCTCAACACAGAAATAAAGGAAGATTTGGATCAAGTGTCTTGGGCTTTACAAAATGTAAAGGTCGACTATGCGTGCGAATTAGTAGCTAGTGTGCAGGAGAAATTGTCCAAGCGAAACAAATTAATTAAAATCGCGGATACCAGTGACGGTGGATGGGAAACTGTGCGTCATTACGAGCACAATCCAATAGCAAGTAATTCTGACGATGAGGGGAAAATCAACAGGGCGGAGAATCGGGCCCTCAAGAAAAAGAAGGGAAAACAACAACAGCACAATCGTAAACAAAGTGTCTACAAGCCTGCGAGTGTTGGTCCTGGTGTTTCTGGTGTTCAGTTGCCCTTTCGTGTGCCCCAAGGTCAGGAGTCATGGGTCAACGCGTGGCCCGCATCCCAGGCCGGGTCAGCACACGCACACACTTACCCACAACGAAGGCGGACGACTGGAGGCGGATGTTTTAGCTGTGGATCATTCTCACACTGGAGAAACGAGTGTCCAGGCCAAGCCAAGTCCAGTCGTGCAGGCGGAAAAGAGTGACTTTGTAAAAGATGAGTATTTTTTGACTGATGATTTTTATGAATACGAGCAAGGGCA